TCAGTCAATTTCATCAACTTCATAACTAACCGTATATAAGACGCAGAACTGAAGCAATGGTAGGATGCACTTTTGCTGTACCATGCTTTCCACTTTTCCTGCATTGAGATCGATGCCCATGTATAATAAATGCTTTGAAAATTTACTTGTTTCATATTTAAATTAACATCATGTGAAGGGAGGAGGGGGCACTTTTATAGCAACAAGACGTAATCGATGTTTGACCGGCCAAAGATGGGATATGTCCGAGCAAAAATAGGTTTGATCGGACAATTTGACCGGCGCCAGCCGGGAAATTATTTGCAGCCCTGCAATAGAAAACATAGTTCTATAAAGACAGCCATATAATAACTAGTCTCAAGAGCAATGAAATTGCAATGAGCCACAAACACCAAATACACTGTATTCACCTACAATAAAAGAACTGCCAATAGTGGGTTATTAAACTTAAGCATCAACAACAAAAGAACAACAACAACAACTGAAAAAACCCACCTTGTAAAATGAATCAAGTGAGAGCATGCACACCCAAGGAACCCCAAGTTGTTCTATGATCTTGTTTGCAACTGTTGTTTTGCCAGAAGCACTTCCTCCACACAAACCTGATGATGCAAAAGATGATATTACATCCATTTTTTTACTACAGTGAAAAATCCTATAACATGTAGTTTGTTATGACAAATTTCTCACATAAAATCTCTGTAGATAAAGTACAGGTAACAGCACACACAAACCAATGAAGCCCATAGACCACAGCTTAACCTAGCTGGTTATTTTGTAGCACAAAGCACCGTGGCGTATTTCTCCCTAATAACAATAATAATAACTCCTTTATTTATCCTTAGCAGCATTTATAGCACTTTTGCTAGTAGGGCCAAGAAAAACTGAAACAAATAATTCAAATATCATCAAAAACAGGGTTAAGAATCCCAACTGGCCTGAGACAAACCAGCTGGTTATTTACAAGCGTGGTCGAGGATTTGAACTCTGGAGTACCATGAACATATCCAGCTAGCGGTCAGGGTGAGACTTAAACTTGGGGCCTCCGAATTAGTTGTCCAGCACTCTAACCACTTGGCCATTCTGTCTCCCTGGATGGGATGCCAGATCAATGCATGGTTATCCACAGCTTTATGTTGCCTCTACCATTAATGAGGGCAAGTAAGGATAAATGTTGACAAGTGGCCTTGAAACAGTGACATACAGACATAAGACAAATGAAATGGCAACACACAACATAACGTTGGGATAAAACTGCAACAGCAACAAGAAGAATACAGTAGTAACATATTGGCTTCTCCTCAACCGGTGAAACCAAGGGATTTTAAAATTCACACTAAAGAAATATGTACTCAGATAGACTCATCAATAATTTAAAACATCAACTTTGATTTTACTTTTCTGGCTTCCATGCAGCTAGCCTTCAGAAGTACACTTATGGACTTACATTTGCGAAATCACCATTGTAGGGACTTAAACAAAGTCACGACAGAAAACTCAAGATCATTGGTTTGAAGTCTTTCACTCAAAGTGTTTTTAAATTAGTATACTAAATTTTCTCCAAAGGTATGATTCACCTTTATCATACAAGTTTAATTTTTATTTTCCCTTAAGTCAGATTCATGATACAAAGGAGAAAAACTTAAACTGGTTTGAGAATTTCAAAAACCAAAAGTGTCTGAACCACAATATGCCTATAAAAGGATCTAGATTATCCTTTCTAATGCTGTTTTATGGCTTGCTTTTAATCTGTTTGGCCTTTTAAATCTGTCATTCTTAGTAATTTTGTTATATCCTTATAAAAAGGCTATCAATAACACTTACATGACATGCAATTTCCTAAAACAGATTATATATTTTGGTATAACACACCTATGACAAATGGCTCTTTAAGTTCTCCATGCAAATTATACCAAGGTGGACGGCCTGCAGAAAAACAAAATATTGAGATACAGTAGTTAGCAAAAACTACATTCTGCCAGCATGGGTTGCAAGACATGAAAAAAGTCATGGCGTAAACACAGTCTCTCTCTATGCTAAGCGTGCTCTTACACATGAAGACAAACACATTACTCCAATAAATAATGTTGTTGAGACCAGCATCGTAAACAAAATTAACACTGCCTTTAAATATAGTAATATAACAAGAAAATTAATCACTAGTTTGATTTGTACTGCCTGATCATTACCTAATTTTATTTTAACTTTGATAAGTAAGCTTCACCACAACTTGACCAATAAGGAAGCAAAAAGTCATTTTCCTCAGGGATAGTAGCAGTTTCATTATCAGAACTGCTGCTAATGCTGTGATAAAAAAATTAGCAATTTATTCATCCCCTCAAAGCAACAAATCCTTGGAGGTGCAGCATCAACTCACTTAAATAACATTGTTTAGACAAAATTAAAAATGCTTTTTAATGAAAAGATCCTTTAATACAGTGTAAAACTGCTTTTATTATCTTCATAAACTTTTTTCGTCAAAAACATCCCTTAACCTGGCAAAAAGAATGAAAAACAGAAACATCCTCTGAACCAATATTGAAGGATGCAATGAAAGGTTTAGGAACATCTGGGCCAAAAACCTATGATTGTCACTTAGGATACCTTTCTTTAGAGAACTTATTAATACAGTAGAACCCATGTAACTCAAACTCTCAAGGGAAAACAGATCAAGTTAGCGAGGGTTTGAGTTATCAGGATTGATTAAATATTCAATTTGGCATTTTAATAAATTTCCCTGCACATCAGTGTATAGTATAGTGCAAATTTACTTATTTCATTTGAAAGCGTAACATGATTATGAATTTTTGTGATAAAACATGATCTGTTCTTTGCACCAATTAAGATCAAATTTCTGTAGTGTTAATTTTAGTGTTTTTACAGATTATAAAACAAGAAGAGTAAAAAGATGGCATCCAAGTGGGGTTCCAAGAACAAGATTTCGAGTTAGTTTGAGTTAGCTGGGAATTCGAGTTATTCAAGCAAAAATGACTGAAAAGTGGGGTGGAATCCAAGGGAAATATGACTTAGTTTGATCCGCCGATGAGTTTAAGTTTTTCGAAGTTCGAGCCATTGAGGCTCTACTGCAATAGCATTTTGCATCTTAATCCATGCAAAAAGCAGGATAAATGAACTTTTATCACAGAAAAAAAAAATACAGCTGTCTCTCTTATAGTGTAATAACCATTTTATAGTTAAGGCTGGTTTCCATAGGGTCGCTACCACTGCTGCAATGACAGCAAAGATCACAAACTGAAAGTTTGTTCAGCATTCGCAGGGATTACTTGGAAACAATAGTCTTAAAAAAATAAATATTTAATTATAGTGATCAAATAGACTTCACTTTTACTTTGTTCCTGGCTGTCATATAATAATATTATCACTACTGTACTTTGCTAAGACTGCTCAGATTGCTTTAAAACTTTTTTTTAGCAACTGTAGCAATCATATTAACAATCATACCCTGCAAACCATGTTTTACTAGCTACAGGGGTGTATAAGGTCCTTTCAGAAATGGAAAGTTTTCTTGTATCATAATGACTAACATGTACACAGGTGGAATGTAGAGAAGATGACAAGGCTGTGCTCTCAGGGCTCAAAATAACGGACAATAGGTCGCCGGTCATGATGACCGGCCAAATAATTTTTTGACCGGACAAACCTGGATTTTGGCCGGTCAAATAATGAATACAATGATTTTTTTTCCTTACATGGAATATCAAATTACACTGGCAATAGATCGTTGTACTGCATTGACGTTCAGGTTTTTAGCGGCACGTTGGTGATATTCATTCACAAGTTGTTGAGTTCCTTTCCGGGGTTTTCCCCCGCTTTCATGTCCGTTTATATATACTTTGACTTTGAGTATCATCGTACGGCAGTGTCTCAAGTCTCCAAGTCCCACAGCTGCATATCGGTGAAAGTTGATCTTTTTCGTTGCCCGGCAGGTGATTGAAAGTCTCCTCCACTAAATATTTTGGGCGAAGAAGTTGATTCTGGCGAGAAATCCATTCCACAAACAGCGTATTTATCATCAGAAGTCAATAAATATACAGGAGAGCTTTTGTTGGGTCGTACATCGCGCAACACTTTATGGTGAAGGGCTCATTATAAATGTCCACAGAAATTTGCATAAAGCTGTTTACAAGAAGGAGGATTTTAAGCGCCGAGATAGGCGACATTCCTTTTTGATAAGCTTAAGAGATTCATGTTCGAGATTCACGTTCGACATAAAGAAATTATATACAATTACTTGATGCGCTAAAATTTATTCCTGGAGAAACTACAGGACGTGGATAATTGCGATAGATTAACCCAAATTCCATCAAAGGTGATTTTCACAAACCTCTTACAAGTAGATGTGAAACGTTAGATTGACAAAAACTGTTAGCTATCCTTTAGTTTTCTAACAAATAACGTGTATGTTTTCCCAAAGAAGGTCACATTACTAACCACAGCAAAGCGGAAAGAACAGTACGATTCACAGCATCATTGCATTACTCCACAACTCAGTTTGTTGTTGTTTCATTTTGTCGCGTTTCATTACATGACCACAGGAAATTTAATGTGGCATTCATTTTCTTTAAAAGTTTTAGTGCACAGCATGAAAAAAAAAAGGCAAAGGAAAAATGATTACAGTGTTATGGAACAAAACGCATTAAGTAGCAACTATATGGAAAATATTTTAAGAGGTTTGCTTCCAAAAATGACCGGTCAAAATAACTGGCAAGATGAGAGTTTGACCGGTCAAGTCCACAATCAGGCTGGACATTGTCCATTGACCGGCCGTTATTTTGAGCCCTGGCTCTAGCAGAGCCCGATGGCCTGTAGCAACTAACTTTTGTTCTTGGGCGACTAGAAAATCTTTGCTTTTTTTATACAAATCATATGCTGGGCACACTGGATTTCACAAGTTCAGAGCCTGGGCTCCCTTCAATTTTTCTCAGAGTACAGCCTTGGATAAAGCTTTTTTATTTAAGCCATGGAATGAAAATGATAACTGTCCATGAATTGACAAATTTCTCTCTTTTTTCATTTTGAAAATGTATGAGGACTTAATGGGGGCAGGGGGGGGGGAGAGGCAGTCTCTCATTTGAAAGTGAGTGATGAGGATTCTTCAACCTCATCCCTGGGGCTTTTCCCTGTGAAAATGGGAGGGGCTTGCCCGCCCCTCTCATTTCCTAAGGGAAATACCCTGGGGATAAGGTTGGAGGATGTTCATCATCTTGCTTGGCAGAGGTTCTAGTCTCTTTTAGGGTGATCATGCTGGAAAGCCAGTATTTGTACCCAAAAGGTACAAATGCTGCTCTTCTATAATGATAAACATCCTTTCACAACTTCCAGCAAAGTACAAAGACTAGTTTTCAACACTGCATAATCTTTTAATTCAGAAGATAATGTCCTATCACAAAGCAGGTAAGAAAAAAGCCAGTGGGAAACTGGTACAGATATCTGTCCAAACACGGACTACACTGGTGTTGTGGACTGTCTGTAATGCAGGCTAGGTGGGGAATGGCATTGATTACACCAGGAATTATTTACACCAGAGTTTCACCGTACCTTGAAAAGTATTGTAGGAAACAGTAAGAATGCATTGTTTTGTAAAGTCCCAAATGAGATTGGATTTGACATGTGAATGAATTTCAATATTATTATGACACTGAGAATGGGAGAAGGGTGTACCTCCAGGTCCTTGAGGCTGAATTTGATAGAGTTCTAATACATTTCCTCACATAAATGTGGATTTTGGCTTTGCAGTAATCCTGCTAGGAGCATTTCATAGTTGAATCTTCAATGTCTGCAACATTGATGACTTTATAAATTAAATTGGAAAACACTGCTCAAGTCTGGTCATAAATGATGATTTAAGGCCAACGGGTCACTACTCTGCGAGCAGAGCCCCTTTGATTTTCCTAGATAAGTCCCGACTTATCTAGGAAGATCGAAGGGCCTCTGCTCGCAAGGTAATGTGTCACAAAAGAGACCCTAAAATTTAAAAAAACCTTTTACTTTTATTAAAATGAAACTTGCCCAATATAGATCCCAATCCGTAAAAGAGGAAATTCCAGTTGGCCTGTTCTGTTTCTCAGAAACAAATACTCTCAACTAAGAATTCATCACTAAAATGGACAAGGTGATTTGATGTAAAAATCCCTGGCGTGTCAATCCAGTGCAAATATATCAAATTCACATAAGGATACGCGCATGCACGTGCTAGCACATACACGCAAACATGCGACCACAGTTGAAATGACATACGAATTTCTTCACGTGGATTAATGATTCGTGGACTTTGTTGTCAAAAAACGCTCACCTGCAGTGTAAATTGTTCTGTTAGAACGTCGAAACACCCTGACATTATCGGATTTATTTTTCAAGGGCGAGCTAGGGGTTTGAGGAGGGGCATCGCCAATACTGCGAAAAGAAAAACGATAAGAGAAACTATATTTCAGTGAATAGTTAGAGAACAATGTAAACAGGACTAGAAGTTACCTTTCGCAGCTTCCAGAGCTGTCTTCTGTCGGAGAAATCGATCTTACATCTAACTTCAGATCACATGGACGGTGAGATTTTTCCGCCATGTTCCTTGCTGCGCAATAGCCTCTGCGCACATGTTCGAGTGAACACTGCTGTACAATAACATGACCGTGGGCGCGTTTATGCTTGTCATGTCAAAAGCCGCATGGACTGAATTTGCCAAAAATCAAAACTTGGGATTATCTCCAAGTTCCGGCTCCTAACGCCCACAGAACGAGCTTAACATCGACCGTCCAATTGCTTTTTTCATAAGAGCAGTTCAAATTGTCCTGTGTAGTGCAAACACAACTGAGCAAATTTGTGATTAAAACCAACTGACCGAAAAGACAATACTTGGATAAAACCAAAACTCACTGACACCCCGGCTGCCACAAAATTAACAAACTGAAATCAGAATATTAAAAAATTAATTTCTACTCTTTTGGGCCACTCTTTCCTGGTTGTTGTGATTAGCTTTTTGCCGGCAGAGTTTTAGAGTTATTAGAAGTCAAGTTTGACAATCACCTGATAAAATTGGAACCATATCACTTTTTGTTTTGTCTTTAATATTTCGGGTACCAACTGTTATTAAAAGCTGGTAGCAACTCAAAACGCGATCGCTTTCTCAAAGTATTATTTTAGAGTCCATGTCGAAATTTTATATCCTGGTAGTTTGTAATATTATTTTTCAATCGGATATGGGTGTAATTTACATGGGCTTTCTTGGCTCCTATGCACGGGTTTAAATGTCAAACACGAAATGACAGGTGAAACTTCTTGTCACAAAATGTTCCAAAATACTTCCCTTTTACATTGGGGTGAGTAATTAACACTTAAAACATTTTAAAACGTTTTAATATTACTTTAGCTTTTTCTTAAGCTTTTCTTCGCCGGTTTGTAAAACCAAAATCAATTTAACATAACAAAAGTAAATCTCTAGACAAGAAAAGGTCATAAAGAGACGACAAAATGCTTGCTTTCGCTTGTTTCGAGTAAAATTTTAATTGCCATTGTTCGAGCATCTCTCGATCACTTGGAAGAACGCGCCTGTGACAGTACAGAGTTAAAGAGCACCTCAACTATATTGTATTTAAAGCGAAAGAACGAAAATATGTTAACGATTTTCGCTTACTACATTTTTTAAGCGAGACAAGTGAGCGCGTATAGCAAGTTGGAAGGCCATGGGCGGTCACCAAGTGACGTACGTAATGACATAGCCTGCGGGACATGATATTATTAGCATCTTCAGACTGAAAATTGCTTTACCCAAATATTCAAACCTTCTTAAACAGGCATCTAAAATAGCGCGATTAACAAAACTACCAATGTGGCTGCAATCACGACAGGAGACGATTTTAAAGAGATCAGAGCGTATTTCTGCTTTGGTTAATTTGACAAGCTTTTGTTTACGCAGCGTTTGACAGCTCGGAGATTCTCATCCCATCCGAGATACAAAGATGACTGGCTCGTATTGTTCATAAAACAATATTCAAGCATTGTAAATGCAGCTTTCAAGACGAACAATACGTGCATTGGAGTAAACTTTGTAGCTCTGGTAACGCTGAAAGAATTAGGATACTTTCGCAATTTCAGCCGCAAAATAAAGCGATCAACTTATCCGAAAGAAGAAACCGATAATTTTCGACCGAAGCGTCAAACATCCGCGCGTGCCACACCACCTCGCATAGCTCTTTAACCAACGCGCTAACAATTTATTCCTGTTGCTCTTAATGTGGTTTAAGTTGAAATATAATAACTCATCACAGTTGCTTAATTTTCATAAACAGAATATCTATCTCTACCAATATCTCCAAATACATTGGAAAGCGAACGAGTCAGGATCATATCAAAGACCGCAGGCAAAATATAATCTTATTTGTAAAAAAAATTTCATTTTCTCTCAGCTTCGGCACCTCAAATGTTTGCTTTAGCAAAATGAAAGAAAACTTGGATAATAGACTTGCGAAAGGGCAGTCAAAATTGGCGTTAAGATCTGAAACCTGGAGTAAATACAATCGCCGTATATCTCGAATCCACGTGGAAAATTTTCCCAGTTGTTCGCAGAAGCCAATGAAATGCGAGCGCAATTTAAATAGATTGTCACAATAAGCCAATCGCGTGTCGTTATTATATTGTAAATTACACAAACACACAGCAACGCAAGACTGCACACACGCTTTCATCTGTCATTAGTGTCAAAGTCTCTGGGCTGTTACAGGTTTCGCAAACACTGCTCTGCTTCTAATTCTAAGCTCTATCCTTTCTGAGAGAAACACCAAGACAGCCTCGGGGAGTACGTTCCGACAAGAGAGATGGCTCCCCACACCGTCAAGGGGGCGAGGAACAAGCGATACTGTAAGTTACAGAAAGCCGGTTGAAACAAATGAATGTCATTTTGCAGTAAGCCGTCCAAATGCGCAACGCCTCTAAAATTCTGAATGAATGAGTTGTGCTTTTGACAGTGGCAAATTCGTCGTCCAAGGAAAAATTCTCTCGTAGGACATTAATTTTATTTTAATTTCTAAGGCCCACATCTTGTTAAAACTAGGATTCCAGGATTCTGCGGCTTCAAAGAATGTCGGGTTCCAGACAAGTTATGTCTCGTGATTTCACTGTGTTCGCTCGCGGACCGATGACAGTTGTGATAGTTCATAAGATCAATACATGTCTTGATGAGCAAAGGGCACCAGAATTATCGTGTGCCACTTCGTCGCCGCTACGTCCCAATAAAGGAATTAAATGGTTATTTTTTATTCCTAAATTGCTTTTTAACAGTTATTGTTATTTTTTGTCTCTCGCAGTGGACGAAAACGTGGAAATTTTCAGAGCGGAAGGCGAGAGGGTGCTTCGCGCATCACGTGTCACAAACGCCAATAGCCCACCGCCCAAGAGAAGAAGAGGCAATTTACCGAAAGATTCGGTCAATGTTCTACGAATGTGGCTCTGGGAACACAGGTTTAATGCTTATCCCTCCGAAGCTGAAAAGCAGTATCTTTCGAAAGCCGCTAACCTCTCTGTGCTTCAAGTTTGCAACTGGTTTATAAATGCCAGAAGGCGAATACTGCCCGAGATGATTCGTCGAGAAGGCAGAGACCCCAGCAATTACACAATCACGCGAAGGGCGAATGTAAAGAGTGCTTCATCGTCTCCGAGCAGTTTTTATCAGCGGAGTCTATCCCCCAGCCCTGAGCGACAATTCGAACAAGACTTTTCACAGCATGATTCAGAGCCGTATTTTCCTGTGTGTGATTACAAGGGACAGTTTGATAATTACGTGGGTTGTAAGAGCCCCCACTCACTCGCTCATGGACAGCAACACGAGTGTGTCTCCGAAATACCGTCTCCTAATGAGAATTCATCACTGACGCCAACACTGGACGCTTTCAGTAGCATAAATTTATTGGTCGAAGTTGCTCTGAACATGGACGAATTTCGTAAACAAGGCAAAAAATGTCTACAAGAGGTTGCTTCATTGTCATGCTAACTCCGAAGCAATTTGAAATTTATATCGCATGTAGACTTTGTGTTTTCTCATTGTTCCGGGGACCCCTTTGTACATTTTAATGAATAATATATCACAGGCCGGCCGAACAGTGAGAGACCTGACACACTGACAAAATCGTGTAATGTTACCCGTACCACACAGGGTACTTTCTATTTTGACATGTCAAACTTCACTGGGCGCGCGAGTCGCGGACCTTCCTTTCTCAGCTCGAACCGATGCGTGGATTAAGACCGCGGAGTTTCGCGAAATTTAACAGGTCTGAAATTATGTAGATGTGCTCATTGTTTTATCGAACGCTGTGTAAATACAAATCCAAACTGTCGATTGGACGGAGTGACGGACTTCTCCGCCGGTAACCTAAAGGAGTAGGGAACCACACTCGACTTGTCATTTGTTTCCAATTTTGTGGCTCGGTCGTGCCAGCTTTGACTTTTGCTATCTGTGGAAATAAAAACTCGAATTCTTGAACTAAGCTCTTGTTGTTTTTTTTTTGGTGTTTTGTTTTTGGGTTATTATGTCTTTTAATCCTCAAGTGCTTCGTTCATGACTGTCACAGGTCCCCGCTCGCTCGCAATCTTCAAACTTGTCAGTGCGACAAAGCCCTGTAATACATTCCAGTTCAAATTTATCACCGATTGTCGCAGATCCAACAAAATTCAGTCGTTATCAAGCGCCAGTATCTCATCACCACCATGATGGTAGGAAACTATTTTCTCTCTAAAGATAAAGAAACTTAAGATAGCCAGCAATTATGGATGCAAATTTTTCAGTTTTAATTTGACAGGGCCTTAAGGTCCACTTTGATTGGATTGTCTTTTTCGAACTTCTTAGAGAGCTGCATGATTCGCGTGCTTTCCGGTAAAAATAACCATATAAAACGGGAAGATCTTGTCAGTAAAGACCATTATTGCATACTACACTCGACAATATTGTTTTGGAGGTTTTAATAAAACGGAAACACCATCAACATCCGGGTGAAAGACAAGACCACCAAATGCTGAAAAATCATTTTGAGGTGAATATTCAAGAGCCTCAAATTAAAATACTGCTCGGTCGCTTTAGTTTCAATAGCAACACTTAAGGGCTTTATCCAACGAGGAAAAATGTCATCCAAAATTGCCAACTTAATTTTTGACTCTGAGAGAACAACTGCGACGAATCAGATTTTAAAAGCCTAGCGTCAGACACGGACTTATCTTTTACTTTTAAAAATTTAACTTTGTCAGTTTAATCGCTGCTTGATCAAAGGTTCTATATTTATTGTGGTAGAATCAGTAGAACGTTTTTTTTTTCGCGCATTCTCCAGCGTTTAGAAACACAACCTGTCGGACAGCTGAAGAAAGTGTAAAATGAACGACTGGTTTGTTTATTTATCGTTTAAAATACTAATCATTCTAAAGCGTTGAGTTTGGGGAAAATATTTTGCCAAAACGCGAGAATTATCACGGTCTAATACTGGATATTCCATTCAGGCATAGTTTGAGAATCTTGTATCGCCGTGGGCCAAAAACATTTAAGAAGAAAGGCCAGTGTTGCATTCTGGTATGCGATAGCTGGGTCAGTTTTGGAGACAAAAGAACAAAGAAAATACTTAAACCTACCAAAAAACAATTCAACTACAAGCAGCCTAAACGCCACCAGACAAAATATTCCTTTTCTTTGCTAAAACTAAAGAACTTTGGAGTTTGATACACGGGCAAATTCCCTACATATTGCTGTAGATGCGAGTCGATAAATCCTCACAGAGCTTTCAAATGATATGGACTGCGGTCAGATTTGGCTCAGGTAGATGAGATTAACTCTACTATCGTTTCTCTGTAATATTTCTGGTAAGATAGCAGGTATTATGTAGCACGGGACATGGATACTTGTTTCGTTTAAAATTGATCTCTCTTCGTTCATTTTAACCTCAGTTAATTTAACATAAGATAAATAAAGAGAACCGTTTCAACTAGACTCGAGTTTACGCCGTACGAACATACTTGGGCAGTGTTCTCCGGCTAGCTACATGCTTTACTTCTCAGTACCATCTTTTATTGTTCTGGTTTCACCGTACTGACTTCGAAAACAATCGTTTTCCCAGCAGAAACAAAAAACTGTTTCTGTGGAAACAGCAAGACTTTTCAAACATCCGCGCTTTAAGAATGAGCGAGTGTTAAGACCAATATTGGAAAATTATGTTCTTCAAAAAAATTCCCTTAAAACGTAAATCAGGAAATACAAAAAATTACCGAGCTCACTTAATTCGAAAGACTTATTTAAAAGAAAGGGTTTTATTCGCAAATGGTTGGTAAAAAGCAATAGAGCATTTTAAAGGAACAATGTGTTACTTGGACACAATGAAAACACTATGAGAAAAAGACGTTTTTAATAAACATTAAATTTTTAAGTAAAGCGAGGCAGCTGGCTATCGGGAAGAAAAACGCGACGCCTTTTAGCTTTTGCCAACGAATTCAGTTTTATTCATTAATGGAAATTAGAGTGGCAAAAAGGCCAATTACATGAAAACGTGCATTTCCAAGTTTTGACAGATGGGTTTAAGTTCAGACTGTCTCCTCAACTTGCATGTACCAGTCTGCGATTCTTGGGGGTTTCCTTCCGCAATTACAAGAGGTTACAAGGAAAACACGACCCAAGATTTCTCTCACTAGATGAGAGAGTGACAAGTCAAAATATACACCTTAAAATTCATTTTGCAGAGAATCACTTTGCTCACTTAATTGCATCTCTGTTTATAGACGACCAATATGAAAACTATCTTAGTACCCCAATGATATCAGAAGTAAAAAGGAGGAAAATGTAGATTACTCTCAACAGAGAGAGTGAAACGTTTAAGAAAATATGAACTGAGCATTGTATCGCAAGTACTACAGCTTGACTTTGTTAAAGGAAAAAGAAAGCCAGCCAATTTCATTGAAACGCCAACTAAAATCAAGGGCTCTGACAACATATGTAAACAAATGTGGAGTCAGTTGTCTTATTATGGGTCACGTAATGTTTTAGCGACTCCCATAAAACGCTAAAAAGGGCCAAATTTCGACAAAAATACTGAAGAGAAATACACATCCATGCACGCGAAGCTTTCATTTTGAAGATCAAACTAAAACGTTTAAGCTTACAGACTATATAACACATGTCTTCCTTAACAAAACACCAGCAACTTGGCCGACTAGTTGAAGCTCTTGACGCTGATAGTAAGTGTTGTACTGAACATGGCACAGCGGGAATCACTCTTTTCTTGTATGAAACAGTAAACTAAAGAATAAAATTGGTCATTTATTTAAATGCTTCTTCTACGGCTTTTTATTTTTTACAATCAAATATTTATACTTTGTTCGTTCCTCAATGTTCCTTTTTAAACTGGATTGTGTTTTTTCAGCGATACATGTAAATAGTCTCGCGTTTCACAAAATAGAACGCACAGCTGGGCAAATGTAAAGAAGACAGAGAATTAAAACTTAAAAAACAATATTGAAAACCACTTAAAACCTACAGCGCTACATCATAATCGATCATGAACTGAAAGGACAGAGAAAGACAAAGGGATAATTTATCCTGGCTCAAATGAACACGGTGAAAACCCCGGTGCTAAAAGGATAGGAAAACGTCTAAACTGAAAAATAAATCGCCACTTTTCCCTGCAGGCGTTGTCACTGTCACGTCTCTTCTACTTTGCACCACTTGGTCTCCAAGAGGATGAGAGTTTTTTAAATATTACTTTTTCCTTATCAGATCATATAATGCAATTTTTTGGGGGGAGAGACCTCTCCCAACTTTTTAATTTGCTCTACAAAATCACTGAAAAAATTATGCGGCTCTTAATATATATATTTTTTCTGACAAAGTTAGATTCCCTTACAAACGACTGGAATCTGGTATGTTCATCATTGTTCGGGAAAGAATAGTTACTACACTGAATGCCCAAACGGTGTTAAGAATCGCATTTCACCTTAAAATGTCATGGGCCTCATGGAAAGACCACCAAATACAAAAAAAGTACTCTTACTAAATACATCTCGGTAACCATGAGAATCAAAAGAGTGAGAATAGTGAAGCAAATATCGACTTTATATTGCACGGTTTAAAATGAAACCTCCTTTGACCTTTGAATGGCCCGACTCCTCTCAGATGTGGAAGCTAATAAAAGCTTCAAACTAGCCTCCCGCGCAAATGGCGGGGCAGGGACGCGTGACGAACCCCTAAGAACGTCTGCGTGGGAGGCTATCTTTAAATCTCATTTTGCAGTTTTACTATTAATCAAAATTCCCTTGTATAAGTTCCAAAATAATTAATGTATCACTCATGGAAACGGAGTTTCGTTACAAGGATACTGTACTCCCCAGATAAACCTGAGATAATTTATTTCGAATGAATTTTAGAAGATCAAATCTTTTCTTACTTTTGTTCTTCAATTAAAAGGAGACAAATGCGTTTCCTTTCATGGGTTCACCGGCATAATTGAACATATTATTGGAATAATATATATACCCAAAACTGGAATCCATATTTTGCGAGATCATTCACAGAATATAACCAAATATTCAAATTATAAACCGATAAGCATTTCGCCCCCCGTCTGGACGTTTTTCTTTTTGAGCCTAAGTATCGAGTAAACATCCTATACAGCCAGAGAAATTCTGGTTGCGGGGAATTTCTTCTCTACATTTTGTCAAAATCTATGAGCTGTTTATGACCACGAGATGAACTTATCTGGCAAGGAATTGCTCATGCAACGCCCAGACTTTAATTGAGGAAATATAAGGAATATTATTCATTAGACGGAATATACAATCAATTATCAGCATCTTAATCCTACTTTTTTACCCTTCAAACTTCTTTTGAACCCTTCATTTGTTGCAATAGACAGCGAAAAAGTCAGGGTTTTCTCAACCTCACTATTTGCAAGGCGCGAGGGGCCGGCGTGAAATTCACGCGCGAAGCACGCAAGCCTCACACGTCAAAGAAGAGTCTAACCCTAC